ACATTTATAATTTTATAAAAACAAACACTTTGGAGATAAGAATACAGGGACATTATCATGGTGAAAAATGTTCCATTCACATTGCAAGAGTTTAAAATTGTTCCAGGAAAGTGGGAACCAAATTCTTTCATTTCCCAAGTATGTTTTAGGCACTGTACAGCTGATGCAAACCAGGACTATTACCTGATTTCCACAAATGGTCTAAGACTGTCAGCCCACAACACAACAAAAAGCCAGAATGATCCTCTTTTCCTTACTTTTGAAAAACTAAAATCCTGCTGACAACACCCTACCAAATTCAGGACTATTGTCCAGCTCTAAATCCTGTTCATTCTTTCGCCCTTTTATCAAAATGAAAGATAAAATTCATTGTAAGTGAATGTTCATAGACTTGATTTTTCAGGGAGATAGATGGCATTGGGTTATGCTGAAAGTAAAAAAAAAAAAAAAAAAAAAAAAAAAAAAAGAAGAAAAAAAAAAAGATGATCAGTTGCAGGATTGCACATTTGAAATTTATTATAAAGTGCCATTGTTTCAAACGACCATTTTCCACAACTGCACATCCTCATTGTGTGAAACACCCCTTTGCTTTGCTAAATGAAATTTTCTCAGCAGTGAAGCTGAACTCACCTGAAGTCATTAATGCAGCAGGAACCCAACTTTTTTTCACTTAAAGAATTTCTCCTCAGTATGTGTGCAAATACTTACACAGAAAATCTAAGCCAGCCAACACTAATCTGGCTTTTCTGTCACCTTCCACTGATGGCTTCAAAGCAGCCCATAGACTGTGTCTAGATAAGTCATGCAATGCACTCCTAGCAAATATCACAACTGCTGCTGCTGTGGGCAAATCATTTTTTTTTGAACCTAGCCCTCAGAGAAACCCATTTCTTTCAAACAGCCTGACTGAAGCCAAGGATGCCCGAGCACGTACGGCAGGCTCGAGCCAAGACAGAGCATGCAAACACAGATCTTCCACATCATCCCAAAGACTCATTTTCCATTCTTGCAGCCATCAACTCCAACACACCATGAAACAGTTACTGGAACACAGTATTGCCAGCTTGCTCATAATTACTGGTTCTTCTTCCCTGCTGAATGCATAGCTAAATGAATGAGGGCTGTCATGGAAAGGGACTCAAATGTTAAGTCTGGCAGAGCTGGATGATCAGGATAGGAACACAGAGAAAGCACACAAAAATCCCACAGCCTCATCTTTGCAGCAATGAAGTCCAAATCCAGGCTTGCACCACAGACACTTTGAGAACATTCTACGTGGCCCTTCCCTGAACCTCAGAAAAGCTGCTACAAATATCCTGGGAAGGGACCCCCAGCGCTCTGCTCCCGCAGCTTTGCTCAGCCCCGGGCTCTGTGGCAGCACAAGTGGCACTCACTGATGCTCACACACTGCTCGTGGCCACAGGCTGGCAGAGGGGTTACCTGCTCACCTGTACAAGCATTTCTCAGGTATTAGAGACAGGATGCTGCAGGGTTTCTTTTGTTGCAAAAGGGGCTTGCCCTTCCCTACCCCACCCCTCAGAAAGTGAATAGCCCTATGTGCATCAGCAGGAGCATCAGCCCTGTTTGGGCTTGCAGTACAGACTGCTCTGCTTTGTGCTCTTGGGAGCTCAAAAGAGCTGCTTTCTCCGTCAGACATCCTCTGGTTACTCTGTTGTGTCTCTGCCTTTAACAAAGACTGTTGTGACACACACAGTTCTCTAAAGTAGTGCCTCCAGAGCACAGACTCATGGCTAACACTAACACTGCTCCTTAAACTCATTTTAAAATGAGATAAATTACTCTAAATTTTATTTAGCATAAATAAATTTCTAACCAAAAGAAAATATTTTAAATTTCATAAAATGAAATTCTTATATTAAGGCCAAGTTGAATAGATTTTTCTGGATGCTATTTGGAGTTTCTCTTTCCTGTATCAGAGAAGCATCTCCTTTACCACTGACACTCTCCATACATACTTGCAGATATGAAGCTTCAGTTGCTGTTTTAATGCACAGCAGTTATAACTTTGGACCACTTATATTAAAACACATTGGGGCTGGTTTTCCACCTTAAAGGCAAATTACAGTGTATGAATAATGAGTATTTTTTGGAGGCAGAGAAATGGGTCATCTTCCCCCTCCATCTGGCACGGTGCCTTTCCAGCAAGGCAGAAGTGGAATTCAAAACCTCTTTATGAATAAGCAATAAAAGACTCATGAAATGGGATGGTTTAGTAACTTCCAAAAAGGCAAATCAACTGGAGACAGAGATAGCTGAGGCTGGGTACCTCAGTTTGCACATGATTTATTACCTCCCCTGCTACAGGAGGCGAGCTCCAGTTCCCAGCACAAACAGCTCTCCCCATCTTACCTCAAGAAGAACCTGTCAGGAAAGAAAGAGCCTAGCAAGTTTTCACATTGGCCTTTGAAGTTCTTCCTTGGCTGACTGATGCTCGTCCATACATAACTGGAAGAAAAGACTTCCATTGTGCCGCTCTTTACTCCAAGCGTATTATTCTCCAGACAAAAGCTTTCGAGTCTTAACTTTTAAACACACCTCTCTTTAGGGTGCACTGTTTCTAACCCATAAAATCTCTTTTCTGTTCATTAAAAAAACAACAAAATAGCTTTCTCCCCCTCAGGCAAACTACTCTGCTTGTTAGTTTTTTGCATTATTTTTTGCAAAGAGATACCACAGAGCAGCAGAACAGCCAGCTCTCCTTCCCAGAAATACAGTATTTTCCCTCAACACTGTCCCAAATGGCTTACCCAGCCCAGCTTTAAACATGAAATCCAGCCATTGTAGGAACTCCTCGGTTTTAGACGAGACCTGGTGAATAATCACCCTACTGAAAACATCTCCAACATCTGGCAACTTGCTGCTATTTGCAGGGGCTGAGCGCCGGGTCAGGCAGGGATGCAGGAGCGGGGCAGGGGGTTAAGCAATGAACATGCTCAGCACCTGCTTGCTCTCTGCCTGATTCTAATCAGTATTCTCCTCTCATGCCCAGGAATGCTAGAATTCCTCAGTTTCCTCAGAAAAAACTCCAAACTTTTTCTGCCTCAAGGAAAGGAGAGGAGGGGGGAAAAAAAGAAAAAACAAAGAGAGAGAAGGAAAAAAACCCTTTCTGTTTAGGGTCTGACCAAATTTCATTAAAGACAATGCAAGTCTTGCTATTAAATTCAATAGGCCTTTTTTCAGATTTATGAGAAATCTCACATGCTTGACACTATTAATTAGAGGAATTAGTGGTGCTAAGAAAGAAGAAAAAAACACAAAACCGAACCCATAAATTTACTGTTCAAGGAATAGACTTTAACAATATCATTTTCCTTGAAATTTTAGAAATCAGTAAAAGATATTTGTTTCACCAGCTCTAGAAATCAAATCTTGCCTTACTGCAAGTTGTACTGCAATTTTAAATCTAGAAACTTTTTTTTCTTTAAGATCTGTTGACAAATTTAAGCCAGTCTATCCATTACAACTGGCTCTCCAGTTTTTTGGCTCATAACTTCATGTCCAAGTTGCTGGATTATTTCTCTTTGTCAAGAAGAACGCATATAAAATAAATTACAGATTTAATTTAATAAAAGTTTAAAATTAAACCAAAGTAGTTCATCTCTAGTCAGCCTGTGTAACAACAAAATCTCACCACTGAGAAATGCATTCTCTTGCATAAGGATGAAAAGCTACAGTTTTAAACTATAAATACTGGCAATGTACAAAAAAGAATGTTTAAAGCATGATTTTGTCTCCTTTTTCTGCTCAGTGCATGTTTCTGTTTTAATAAGTACAATAGCAAAAAATAAATATCATTTAAAAATAAGAAAAAACGTTTTAACAGTTATCCAGAAAATACACATTTTTAGTGAATGCAGGAGCAGTTGTAGAAGAGAAACCAGTGCAAGCCCTGGGTACCCAGTCACAACCACATAAATTTCAAGCATTGAATATTTTCTTAGAACCAATGACTATTTTTATGTATTATTGAATAGATTTTTCACAACACATATTTGAGAGAATTGCAGGGTATTCATGGGAGACTCAGCAAAACCAGCAAAAAATATGCATCAATTACTGCTGTACTCCAGAAAATACATGGTGTCTGAGAGCCTCAGTGTAAATTGAGGTAACACCTCTGGGTTCATGGACTTCATCCCAGACCACACTACCTACTGATCTGCTGTAGCTTTAAAAAATAGTAATAAAGCTAACAAAAATAAAGGTGCAGAGTCTTTATCACTTCACCAAAGCACACCCCTGCTGCTCTGTTGCAGGGCTTGCTGCATCTGGTGAGTTAAGTGGTCCATACCGTGGGCCACTGGACCAGAGGGTACCCACTGACCCCTCTACAAACAACCCCTGGTGTTCCCAACTCTGCAAACCCAAAAGCTGAAAGCCCAACTACTCTTCCAAGGGCAGGCTGCAATCCTATCTAGCCACAAACATTCATTCTAAAGTATCATTCCATCTGGATTTGCAGCTTCAGCAGATGAATGATGACAGCTGAACCTATGGAACACTTTTGATTCCTGCACACCAGACATTTGGAAATACCATTGAGGGAGGAAAATATCATTGGTCCCATTTCTTTAGGGAAAAAAAAAACAAAAAAACAAACCAAAACACAAAAAAACCCACAAAAATAAAAAAAAACACCACAGATACAAGGAGAAAATTTAACCACAGAGGAGCAGCAGAGCCCAGTGACTGGGAAGGAAGAGCGAGCAGTCCTATCTCAGCTGGCTCCAGGCACAAGCAATGCAGAAAGTCACTGCAAGAAAAACACAGCAAATTGTACCAACTCTAACCAGTTCCCCTTCAAACTAAAGCCAACTCTTCCAGCACCAATTCTGCCATAACCACTTTTTTCTTGTTTGTTTGTATAGAGGTATCAGTTACTTATAAACATATTAGTCACCGAGATCGCTCCCTCCTACTCAAAAGGGGTTTTAAAAAAGATCCCCTAGCCCAATCCAAAGATGCAGAACCACACTCACCACAGCCCTGCCAGAAGAGAGTTAAAGCCTATGGAAAGGTGCCCTGGGCATGCCCTTTCCCACAGCAGCAAACCAACCCCAGCAGTGCAAGGCTGGGAGAAAGTCCTTCAGCACAAATCCCAGGGACCTGAGGCACCCACTCCAACAGCTCAGTGTCACCAAGGGCAAAGCACCACCTACAAAGCACAGCTGGGACCCCCCTGTCTCCACCTGGAGAACACAACGGTCCTGTGGAAGCTTTAAACCTCACAATAAATAGAAAGAAACCACTTGCAAGCCTCACAGAAGGAAAAGGGCAGAGTGGGGAGCTTCCTGGGCTGGAAACAGGGTAGCCCCAGCTCCCACCTGGGCTGGGAGCCAGCCCTGCACCCAGCCCTGAATTGCAAAGCTCTGCTCACTGCTTCAAGCTCCAACTCAGAGAAGCACAATGGGTCTTTCAACCAAAGGATCCGGCTCTGAAAAAGGGCCCAAGGCACCCTAAGGGCACGGCACTCCACAAAATCCCCGAGGTTAAACCAGGAAACATCACAGAAATGCATCCAAAGGGGTTCCTCCTTTGCCATCCTGGGAAACCCAGGGATCCACAAGCCAACCAGCAGCCAAACATGTAGCACCTGGTGGCCCATTTCTTTAAGAGTGGTCACTTTTCTGCATGGTAGCACTTAAGAATAGAAACAGGTGAGTCCCTCCTATGCTTTTTGATCACCTGGAAGATCTTTTTATCCTCCCATACCACTTTTCTAGGGTGTTTTATTTTTTATTTATAACTATCATTACCAGGATTCAGATACTAGCTATGATTAGGACTTTTTTAATATTCACCTTAAATTTCTGTCTGATTTACTCTTCCCAGGCTGACAAGTCTGTTTCTGATGTCAGATTAACAGAAATATTTATGCCATCAATCATCATTCCATCTTTTCCACTGCCAATACGGGAGAAGCACAGTAACACTGAATTCTGATTTAATTTCTTTCTTGGCCAAGTGACCTCTTACAGCCTGGGGACAAACTGTCTTTACACCCATCATAGTATAAGGTTTGACAACCATTCAAATTACGTGGTGTCCTTCCAAAAGTTTAATTTGCTGGGTTGATTAGGACCAAAGGTTGAGGACTGGAATGTTGTATATGGGGACAGAGTGTGCCTCTCCTCCTGATACCCTTCATCCAGGGAGGAGCCAGAAACCAGAGGGAGTGAGCAGCACTGCCTCCCACCCTGCCAGTCCGATGGAGCAGATTGGTTACAGAGCTCCTTACAGCAGAGTTGGGGGGGGGTGGCTGTTTGCCTTTTTTTGCTAAATCATATGTTAGAAAAATTAAGTGCCATTCTCTAAAGCAGCTTTTTTTAATTTGCTCTGCTTGGAGCATTTTTACTATGCTTACTGGCTGTGTCTGTCTCTTCTTCACCAGCAAAAATAGATGTTTAGCACTATAAGGTCTTGTTAAGTCTGAGAAAGTGAAGGTGTTCCCTCAAATCTGGAATGTGATTAAACTTCCATGCAGTGAATATTCAATGCTAAGAAACCTGCACAGCCCTGCTGAGAGCACAGAACTGTTCTGATGGGAATGCCAACACAATTTGGTCTCAAGAAACTTTTAAAACACAGAGATGGAAATAACAAAAAGATTAAAGATTCGTCTGCTGTATGCAGCCATTTTGCATTTTCACCAGGACTTGTGGGCATCCTGAGACCCTGCAATGCTTCTGGATGCTTCAGTCCCTGCCCCAGTACACACAACATGCAGCTCACAGCACTGCCAGTGCTGTTCAGAAGAGGTGGACAAGCAGTTAGTTTTAAGGGGTTTTCAAAAGACAACACTGTATTTGTTGGAAAACAAGTTGTGGGTACTGAAGCAACAGGGGTTTGTGTGGTTTTCTATGTAGCTGCCAAATATTCGAGCATTTTTGCTTGAGCCTGTTGATTTAAAAGAGAGCAGGTCAAATCAACTGTGCTAAAGCAGGGATGAACCCACAGGGCTTTTTCCTAACTGTGACATCTATTGTATAATCTCCTAAACAGATTCCTAAATGTTTTCTTCTATTATTTTCCAGTTCCACAGACAAAGAACGCAGTGAAGCCGTACAGCGTACGGGGAACAGCCACCACACGCAGCAAGGGAGGTACACACGGTGCCTTTCTCTGCACCACATGTCTTAAAATTCTACAGAAAAAAATTGTAGACCTCCATCTAAACCATCACACCATAATGATTTGCTGATTGATCACTTAAACCATCACTCCTTAGCTAGCAGTTGTTTGGAAGTATCTCTTCTTCTATCTAAATACTGATAATTTAATTCAGTGCTCTCTCACACAACAGCATCAGTTCACCATCTGCAGTGGGGTTACTTGATTTATCCCTTGGTAAATCGAATTCCAGATTTTTTTTATTTTTTTTCCAAAATCTGTACTTTTCAGAATTTCTTTGTGAAACTGTGTATTTCACTTCCCATTTTCTTTAGCTGAATTCCTTCCACTTCCTTTTTTTCTTTTAAAACACTTTCCTTCTGAAAAGAACTTATTTTACTGTTCATGAAACCAGCTGAGTCCTGACTTCCAGCTAATTCTGTGCAAGCTTTTTTCTCACCACTCAGCCTGACAGGAGGGGCTGGGTAGGTGTCAGAGTATTTACTGGGGCACAGATCCCCCCACCTCAGCCCTGACCCTTCAGCACTTCACACCAGATCAAACAGCCAGCCCTGAGGTCAAAATGAAAAGGAAGTCCTGCCACAGCATCTTCAGCAAAGACGGATTTTCTGTGGAAGCATTCCCTGCTGCTCTGCTAGCCTGCTTTCTCCACAGCATGTCCGTGCTCATCTCCATCCTCCCCGGGACAGTCAAAAACAGAGGTGGAAAACAATTTTAAGTACAATTTGGTTACACTGAGTATGGTTGGTGCTACTGCCTCACAGGGGGTAGATGGGCTACATTTTTAACAAAGTGCAGAGTAATTTCTCCAGAAGAGCTGTGGTTGCTGTTGTTTTTCTGGGCTAGTACGTGGAAGAGATTCTGATTATATTGGCATGAACAGTCCTGCTCATTTAAGTAAGGTGAATAAGACTTGACAGGGGCTGAATAAGCTGTCTGCTTGCAGAATTGTCAGGCACAGACAGTTTATTCCTCATACTATTCAAACCACAGTGACAATATATCTGATGGAAAAATGACTACATAGTCATTTTTAGATCAGACATCCAATATGAGGCATATCATAAATATAAAAATCCTTAAGACTGGTCCATATATGGGCTTGTGCATGATGTAAACATTGATAATGTTTGGCAGAAAGTCTACAACCAGGCAAATATTTGTTAAAAAAAAAAATGAAGTAGCTGAGTATTTGCAAAGCATGCACGGACTGATATTTTAATCAGTGATGACCAGAGAGAATGGAAGCAGAGTGTATTTAAGAAATTGAATGAGAAAATGATGATTAAAAGACTTTGTCTTATCCTCTACTCTGATGCTTTTCAAAACAGCAGAGGAGACCCACACACCCTAAAAACCTAAAAATCAGTACAGCATCAGGAGAGGCTTTCTGGTTCCATCAGGCTCCTTACCACTGTTTGTAGCTAAGCTAAATTTCTGTGTCCAGCGGGTGAGGTGGGACCTGGATCTAACACTCCCAGACCTCACAATTCAGAGGGAAACTCGTATCATAATGACAAGAAAGCACATCCAGAGTGCACAGCTTCTCCTACTGAGGATGTGGTGGGATACATTTTACTATCTGAAATAAATAGCTTTCTGCCATGCTACAAGGAACTGATTGTTCTCAAGGGCTCTGGCTGGTTTTTTGCGCAGCCTCGTCGATCCAACTTCCCTTTTTTCTGGGAGAGGGGACAGCACAACTATCCTAGCTGAGGCAGGTAACATCCATAAAAACCAAACTGAAGAAAATGACCAAACAAATGTTGCAAGCTTGTTTGTGTCCCCTGTATTCTGAGAGCCCAGTCTGGAGAATGGGCTGGCTTCTCAAGCTCCTTTTCTTTTATTAGAAGCCCTGGACTATTTATCTCCTACGTGATTTGGTATACAAAGAAAACTTTTTTCCCTTTAGGCTACACTTATCAAAAAGATTACATGCAAAAATATTAGTTTTAGTAAAATTCAGTAAAATACACTGTATTTTACCTGCGAGAATAGTAACATTTTAATGCATTGTATACTACAAATAAAGTTATTAAAACAAAATCAAATCCAGTAATGCTAAAGAAAAAAAAAAACAAAAAGAAAAACTGTAAGAGCATACAGTGTATACATTCAACAGACCATGCAAAATAAGGATTCCATTCAAATTTCACATCTCATTAAAGACAATTTGGCCATTAATCCATACGGGTTTAGGAGCAAAGAAGGATTTTCCAAGACAGATAAACCGAAATGATCCTCCTTTGATCTCCGAGGTTAAGAATCAGCAACAATGGAAGATGAACAACAAGGGGCAGAACCACTGGCCTTTTTATGTGCCACAATGGCATCAGCAAACAACTACTTAATCAATATTTGGCCAGGAACACTGAAAACTTTCTTTTCAAATTTTAATTCCTAGTTGTAAAACAACTGTAGGGCAACCAGCAAGATAAGACATTAAACTGACTGCTTAATTGCCTTTTAGCAATTACTAGTTATATATGCACATTCTTAATAGTTCGTGAATCTTTATTTACAAGGATGAATGAACGACCTGTCAACAATTACATCAAACTCCCCTAACTAAATAATCTCAGCACATGACACACTTTAACTCTAATGTGTCCTCAGTGAGTTTTAATTTCATTAAGCTTCACTTTTTTTCTAGGCAGAGTGATTTAAAGTGAATTAGTTTAACAGCATGGGGCAGGAGTACTCCAGGGCAAGTGAAGTAAAATGCTGCACTCACACTAGGCTAAACAAGGTCTTGTGGTGAATTACATTACTGTACATCATTTTTATTAGCCAGGGAGCTCAGCGTTCAGGGACCACTTGGAAGTATCCTGCATTTTTATTTCTATATTTTGTTCTTTCTCTGGCCATTTATGTTTGCTACACAGGATTTAAAGTGACATTTACATGGAGAAATTCACATTGCCTGGCTCGCTCTGATTTATTGCTTTGTGTTTCACTCAATTTCTTCTTAAATTAACCAGAGAGCACTTTGTAGTTCTGCTTCATTTCCCAATGCAGTTTTATTACACAG